AATTGTTGATATTTTAGCAGGTGGATAGTCCAATTTTTAGGGGAGGTGCTGCCGAAATTTCGGCAGAAATTAAATTATTTATAGGAATCAAATATGTAGATAATTTATTAGAGCGATTCTTGTATTTCCTATTGTCTGATGTAGTCATTTTTTTTCGTATGCTATTCTTAAATTCTTTAGATCGCTCGAATCCATCTAGTGCTCCTCCCGGACAGAACCAAAGCTAGAGCCTCGTTCTCCACCACTATGAGTAATAATAAATAATGCATATCAAATAAATAATGCAGATCAACATGCATTTGCATAGCATTTTTTTTACAAACCTTATATATACTTTTATATTAAAACTCATATTTATTTTATGTTGTATAATTGTATATTTGGATGGATTTGGTGTAATACGTTGAAAGAATTGTTTGATTAATTGTGTTGTGCATATACTGTGATTTGTTTGTGTGGGATTTTGTGTGGAATTGGGATGAAGTGGGTCACCATGGGTTTGTGAGAATGGTATATGTGATATGGATCCTGAATATGATATGAAATTTGGCCGGGTAAATGGAAGATCGGCGCCCCGTGTGCACCTACTGCTATGATCTGTGTGATATGGAAAACCACAGGTTGGTTTCTTTATTGGGCGCACCTGATTTGATCGCAGCCCGCAGGGTGGCCTCCTGTTGTGAGCGCTTGATGATCTAGATTTGATGGAGACGACCGGGTTACCTCCTGTTGGGAATAGAGAGAATGGAAAAATAATGAGAGGGATGTGATTATTTGAGGAAAAAAACAAGAGAGGCTGGTCGAAGTGAGGATTAAGGGGACCGGTCGGGGCCAGTATTGGGGATCGGCTCCCTGGTGCACATTTGTGGAGAGGATGAGCCAGGTGGAGGAAACGGCTCATCGGGGTGTTCCCGGTGACTCCACTGACTAATCTCACTAATTTCCACGTGATGTGATTATTTGAAGGTGATATTGTTTGTGGGTGCTGATGTAATGTCATATGATTGACTGTTGTGTGTTCATTCAGTATATTATGGTGCATTTTGCTTGACTGTATTGTGTGACTGTTTGTGATGTGTATTATTTATTATTATTCACTGAGTTGCAAAACTCACCCCCCCAAACAAATCTCCCAGGTACTAGGAAGTTGCCGGTTCGACTGAAGCTCTGCACTCTTCTTCGCAGAGTCATAAATGTAAAAGTTATATTCCTGTTATTTAATTTGGATTGTATAAATTATTTTTTTTATCTGATTATTAGTGAACTCCGTAGTTATAGGGTTGTGTATTAATATTGGACTTATTGTTAGCACTACACTATAAATTGAATATTATGTAATTAGCTGCAGGTGAACCAATAAGCCCATAATGTGATTATAATTTATTGTGAATTAGAATAGGCCCTGGTTTTAAATTTAATTGGTATTATTAGATTGGTCAGGATGTTTTTGAAAAAAATTTTTATCAACTTGTATCTTAAGTCAGATGGAGCTTACTGTTTTGAGAAATTGGGACAGATAGTGTAAGATAGATTTGGAAAATTTAGGCTTACTACGGGGCCTCGGGGGGGCCTTTTAAAGCTTTTACCTGGGCCCTAGTGCCTGGCTCCGCCCACGGAAACGGGTTCGTTGACGTAGTAACGCACCTGTTTTTCCTATGTTTCAATAGTAGTTTACCGGTCTGTGAATAGTACCCACCGGTCCGGAAGTCGGTATTATTTTTTGTCCGGAAAAAAAATTACTATTTATGTTTTTATATTTTATTTAAAAATTTTTGGAGCATGTATGCGATCTGTAACATTTTTGGAGCATATATGCATGGTTTTTATGGGTAGAAAGTAAGTAATGAATATTTTTGGAGAATTTAGATAATTAGCGAATAGTGAATTATGGTATTATATTAAGTAAGGAAATTTGAGCAATTATTTTTTATGGAGGAACATTAGAGAGTTTTGTGGAGATAAATAATATTTTGAAGGAATTTAATTGGAGAATATTTGGAGAAAACACCAAAACACCCTCCAATTTGGAGAAAAGACCAAAATACCCCTAGTTGCTTTATTAAAAGCAACTATCAATTATTGAGCAACACTTTGTCCTTCTTCTCCTTTTCCTACACGTCTCCTTCTCCTCCTCCTCGTTCTTCTTCTTCTTCTTCTTCATTTTCTTCAATTCTTACTAAGTAAACACATCAAATTCACCCATCCAACTTGATTTAAGTACTAAATCTTAGGAGTGAAGCTAGAGAAGTCATTTTTGACTAATTTCAAGGAATTTGGTTGATTTTTCTACTTGGGTCAAGAAAAGTGATTTTTATTGTGATAATCACTAGCTCCTCTCAACTGATCAAAACAAATCATCTAATCCGATGCAATGGATACGATTCTTCACAGTAACTTTGTTAAGTTGTCTGTAAATCAATACACAATCTAAGTGCATCCATCTCTTCCTGTTACAAAAACAATAACTGGGCACCCCACGAGATACACTAGGACGAAAAATAAAAAATAAACCCTTATCAAGCAATTCCTGAATCTTATCTGTCAACTCTTTCAACTCCAGCAGGGACGCCATCCGATACGGAGCAAATGGATATCGGTAGCAGTAACCAGGCATAAAACCTCAATACTAAAAACTCAACCTCTCGACTGCATGAGGGGGTAAACCAGGGCAAACTCGCTCTGAAAAACACATCCGGAAAAATCACATCACTGTGGGTATATCATGACATTAGGAGATTTTGGACCTCTGGGAGCAAGTACAAAGGCTCTTAAATTATGGCTCACAACCATGCTGGATCAGTCTTTTCTAGCAGTAGAAGCAGAAATAACATTAGAGGAGGTAATTAGAGAGGTAATCCGACCTCTCACCCACAACTACAATCTCCTCACCAAATGCAGTCTGGAGTGTAATCCTCTTAAGTCTACAATCAATCATAACTTCATGTATAGACAACCAATCCATACCCAAGATCACATCAAACTCCCAGAAAGGCAATTCTATTAGATCTCCCAGAAACACATGGCCATATATTACCAGTGGACAATCTCTATACACTCGATTAACTATGACACTATGACCTAAGGGATTAGTAACCTCAATACTATATATGCTCTAACATATCAACATGCATATTACCCAATCTACCCACATGTATGCATAAATATGAATGAGTAGAGCCAGGATCAATCAAACCATAGACAGAAATATCATGGATAGTATTTTAGTAAATCTTAGTTTAGAATAAATGTTTAAGTAAAGGATTTATGGTGTAAAAGAACTAAATTAATTATGTTATTAATTTTAAGTTTATTTGATATTTCTTATCTATAAATGTTAATGTATGTTGAAATTTGATGATTCTATGATTATAAATGATTTTATGAAATTTATGTTTTAAGTATGTTGTCATCACAACATTGGTATGTTTGTGATTTATAGGCACCACTGAGTTTTATACTCAGTGCGTTGATTTTATCACGCACAGGTTGGAGATTGTATTTGCTGCTTAAAGGCCTGAAGAGTAGCATCAGAGCTGAAGAGATTATTTTGGTAGTTGATTTAGTGTTTTATGTAACTAAGAATTATGGCATGTATAAGTATTACGTGTTAATAAAGTATTACCATTGGAGAACTGGAATTATTTCATTATTAACTTAAGCATGTTATGTAAAAATTATTTTGGTTTGTATTATATATTTTGGGAGATATAACTTAGACCCTTATTTAATGAGTTAGAACATTAAGAATAGTTGATTGTTTAAATGAAAATGGATTTGAATTGATTGAATATTATTACTGTTATTTGAGGATATGAAATTGCTAGAAAAGTTCGCTATTGGTGTTGTTATTGGAAGTTTGATGGGGTTTTGGAGTTGTGGATTTTGGGATGCTTTGTATCATATGTTGGCAACTTTGTCCGATTTTTAGGGAACTCTTACAGTGTTTCTGTTGGGGACTCTCCCCAAATCATTTCAAAACAAAATATTTCTTATACTTGCTAAACTTATGAATACTAAGTTCCACTTCTAATTCATAATATTGATTGTATGGTTTATAGTTAGTAGGACGGTTGCCTCCGGCACCGAATTGTGGCATCCACCGTCGGGTTCTTTCGGCGGGATCGGGCGGGTGGGTTTTGTTACGGTTTATATGTAGGTTAGGACGGTGCCTCCGGCACCGAATGTGGCATCCACCGTCGGGTCTTTCGGGATCGGGCGGTGGGTGTTACAAGATCACCTCCGTAAGCTCTTTGACCAATGAACAAAGCATTAGTGTTCCACTTACAAAAGGGAAGAATAGGTGGTTGCTAGAAAATCATCGACCAATCCTTAACATGCTGCCGGACCTCCATACTCAGACCTACACAATCTGGCTCATGAATAGCAGAAGCCAATGACATAATATCTCGTAATGTCCCATAAATGGAAATGTGCTCATCACAAAAAATCCACTTATTTCTCCTTTCCCAAATCTTCCAGCAACAGACAACAAAGGCTGTGCTCCAAGGGAACCCTGAGACATGCAAAACATTACTGGAAAGATTTTGTGTAAACCAATCCTTGAGGGAATCAGCCACATTGAAGAAATGGTCAGAACCAAGAACTTAAAGATTAACCCACAGCTGCTTCACGAAACAGCAATCACATAGGACATGTAACTCGTCCTCCACCAGACCTGCACAAATGGCACAATAAGGATCAATATTAAGGTGGCGCCTATAATGCTTCCCATTCGTGAGCAACTTCCTATTAAGAACCAACCACATAAAAACTCGGATGCATTGTGGTCCCTTCCATTTCCAAATGAAATCCCATTTACGTGAACTCGGAGCCTGACCATCTCCAGAAATCCAGCTATAGGCTGATTTGATCGAAAAAGCACCAGAACCAGTCAAGCTCCAATAGACATCATCAGAACCACAATCCAAAGCTGGGGGGAGGACTACCACAATACAAGCGATGATAGTGGGAGGAAGATAAATTGAGAACTTATCCAAATCTCATGATCCATCCCTCCTAACATAGTCCACCACAACCTCGTTAATTATAATCTCTGGAATAGGATGCAGAGTAACATTCTGAAGCGTGTCCAACTCCCAAACCCATTTGTCCTTCCAAAATCTCACAGTTTGACCATTGCCAACTGCATACATGGCACAATTCAGCAACTTGTCCCATGAATCCAATATACCTTTCTAAAAAGTAGAATTATTCGAGCGGGAGGCATCGGAGATACTGTTTGAGGAAACCTTATACTTACTAGTTAACACCCAAGCCCATAATGCAACTAAACCAGTTTTAATGCCCCAAGCCACTTTCATAAGAAAAGCTTTGTTAAGAGTACACAAATCCCGCAAACCTAAGCCACCACAAGACTTTGGCTTAGTAATATCTTTCCAGGGAATAAGGGCAATTTTCCTTTTATTAGTCGAGGAACCCTAGATAAAACCTCTACAGACTTTATCAATCTTAGAACAAATACTAACAGGCAGCCTCATCACTTGCATTGCATATTGGGGCATCGCTGCAAGAATTGAACTTGTGAGACTAATACAATCAGCTAGCGATAGTCTTGACGAATTCCAATTCGAAAACCACATATAAGCATTATCTATAGTATAAGAGTAAGAAGCAACGTTAGTTCTTCCATGAGTTAGGGCCACACCGAGATACTTGCCCAAACTATGTATAGTGCAAAACCCCAACTCTCTACTCAACTGGCATCAAAGACAACTGGTCTAGAGAGGCTTCATCCAATAAAATAAGATCATCTTTAAAGAATAAATGTGAAAGAGGGGGACCTCGATGAGAAAGATGAATCAACCTCCATCGACCACTGTCCACGGCTTGAAAAAGCGAAAGCCGCTCCAAACAGAGCACGAAAAGATAAGGGCTGAGTGGATCACCCTGCCGCAAGCCTCGAGAAGGATAGAAACTTTTTGAAAGCCCACCGTTCCATGAGATATGCATGGAAGAAGAAGAAATACATCTTATAATAGCATTAGATAGGGAATGAGTAATACCAACATCCAATAATGTATCCTGTAAAAAATCCCATCGGACCCTATCATAGGCTTTCTCGAGATCTACTTTAATAAGCATCGACTTCTTCGCACTTCTTCTGTTCCGCATATTATGAATAATCTCCTGGGTAACAATGATATTGTATGTGATGTGCCTACCCAGGACAAAGCTTGTCTGAGTTGGCTAATAACATGGGGCAAAATTTTCTTGAGACGATTAGCTATCGTTTTAGTGGCAATCTTATATGCTACATTACACAAGCTTATAGGCCTGAACTGATTAAGTTGGGAATGATCCTGGACTTTCGAAATCAACACTAGCAGAGTAGCTTTAAAATCTTTTCCCAAGTCTTCCCCTCTCAAGAATGCTTGAATGGTATTAAACGCCGACCTATTAACCGAACACCACTGGTGTTGAAAGAATGTTTGATTTGTTAAAATTTGTTAATAGAATTCAATTAATAAAAACTATTTGCTTTATGTCACGACCCATTTCCATGGACCGGACCGGCACTAGGACCTGGGTGGGCTTAAGGCCCCCGAAGCCCGTAGTAAGCCTATATTATGCAATTCTCATTTAAAAACTATTTGCTTTTATTGTCACGGACCCATTTTCCATTTGGGGACCGAACCGGCACTAGGGACCTGCGGTGGGCTTAAGGCCCCCGAAGGGGCCCGTAGTAAGCCTATATTATTGCAATTCTTCATTTACTATTCATAACTGTGGATACAGGCCCAATAATCTATTTCCAATTATGTATTCACTAGTACAGGTCCTCCTACAACCCACTAGAATACAATTGCGGAACTCTAACCTGTATATTTACATCATCATTTATTTATTTGTTTACAGTCTTCTTATACTTATGTCTCAACTCCATAGGATTTTTCTTTCTTCTATTAACCTGGAAGAAAAAAAAAATAAGGCAGGCAGGAGTGAGCCGCCAAACTCAATGAGTTAGGGTTAGCAGATAAACCCTCTTCACCCCACACAATCATACAAATGCTTAAAAATTATTTTATTTGTTATCGATTAAAATTTATGAAATCCAATGCAAAAAAAGTGTCCACACAAATGACAATATACCAACAGCAACCACAATTATTATCCACCTTCATATAATCACATCACGGGAAATTAGTCAATTGGTCTGTGGCGTCACCGAAACCCCTGATGAGCCGTCCTCCCACATGGCCCATCCTCTCACGTGTGCACCAGGGAGCCGATCCCCCATTCTGGTTGACCGATCTAATCCTCACTTGACCAGCCCTCTCATTATTTTTCCATTCTCTCTTTTCTTTTCCATACCAACAGAAGGCAACCTGGTCATCTCCATCAAATCTAGATCATCAGGCGCTCACAACAAGAGACCACCCTACGGGCTGCGATCAAATCTAGATTATCAGGTGCGCCCAATAAAGAAACCAACCTGTGGTTTTCCATATCATACAGATCATAACGGTAGGTGCCACGGGGCGCCGACTCCCATTTACCCGGCCAAATTTCATATTCAATTCAGGATCCATATCACATTATACCATTCTCACAAACCCATGTGACCCACTTCATCCCAATTCCATCATCCCAATTCCACACAAGCAAAGCACAGCAATATCACATCACAGCGAATCAAGCAATACAAATAGTGCAGCACGATATGGCAATTCAACAAAATAATGCATGATAACATTTAGCCGTGAATGCATGAATGCAGGTGGATGATACTAGTTATCTAACACTACTCACAGTTCTTTATTGTCCTTTAAAAGGACTGCCTTTTTTAGCCACATGCTTCCAGCTTTTGTCCTCGCATTTTGTATTTTATAAGCCTTTAAAATAAACAAGAAATTTCTAAATAAGAATTTTAATTCAAAAACTTAATAAACAAGAAAATTCTAAATAAGAATTTTTAATTTCAAAGAACTTATATTTTCCACATTCATTTTATTTATTTTCGGTTACCGGTCATTTAATTTCACTTGTTTTAATTCACTTGTTATATATGCATATATATCTGGGTCTTCTCATTCTAAATTTTTCTACGTAATCTACTCTCGATATTAATTTCAATTTTTATTTTTCTATCGAACTCTATTTTACTTTCTACCGAAATTTATTTTATTTTTCTACTGAAATTTCCGCAGCATCTCCCCTAAAAATTGGACTATCCACCTGTTAAGATATCAACAGTTCATCAAATATTTCAAACCACACAGCCTATCCATCGGGCAATCAATCAAGTCAATTTCTCCCATCCTCCATATTTTCCATATCAACATAAATTTATAAATGTTTCATCAACATTCAAACAATTTATAAAATGGTGTGGTCTATTTTCAGGTCTGATATCTATATCATCATTTCCTAACAATTTATATCTCTCATTCCACTGATTGGGATTTCTAGGTTATTCAAGTAATTTTTTATTTAATCAATGGGATCAACACTAAATTAAAGGCTTAATTTAGTAGATCTAAACCAATTAAATTACGTCATACTCTAATCTAATCAAAATTTGCTAAATAATTAATTAATCAAAGATTTACTTAAAATCGATTTAATTCCTCACTAACAATTACTAAAATTCACAATTAATCAACTAAAATTATTAAAAATTAAACTAACTAAACATGACTAAATTTAATTAAACTACATGAATAAAATTAATTTAATTATTCAACGAAACTCGACATTTAAAGTTAATTTTCATAACCCCAAATATAGTAAATTTTTTTTGTTATAATATTCTGCATAAGATCGGAAAATTTGCCACGGGGTGCCCGGACTCCACGAGAGAGCAGTGCTGTTGGTGGGGTTCGGAGGGCGTCGCAACCACTCCTGTTGGGGAACTTGTTGACAGGCAGCGACATAAGTGCCTTAACCTGATAAACGGGGTTGTATGGCGGTGAGCGATGGCGCGACTTTTTCTCGAACGAGACAGGAGGGGAGGTGGTCTGCTCGTGCCGCGCGATTAATTAACTACCATGAATAAAATTAAATTAATTAACGAAAATGCATTTAAATTAATTTATACCCCAAATATAATTTTTTTGTCGAATTTCTGCTAGATCAAAAATTTCCACGCGTGCCGGATCGGAGAGCAGTGGCTGTTGGTGGTCGGAGGCGCGCTGGAGCGGCGGCTAGGCGGTGGCGTTGGCGCGACGCTTGCTCGACCGAAGGCAGAGGGAGGTTGGTCTGCTCGTGCCGCGCGATCTGACCCAGTAAGCTGGCTGAGGCGCTGCGAAGTGGAGCGGCTGGACGTGGCGCTGGAGCTGCGTGCGGTGGCGCTCGGTGGTCGATCGCCTCTGCTGGAGCGGCTGGAACACCACGCCGACGCAGATCCAAGGAAGAAGAAAGGAAAAGGAAAGAAAGAAGAGAAAGAAGAAGAAGAAGAAGAAGAAGAAGAAGAAGAAGAAGAACAGAAGAAAGAGAATGATTTTAAAGGGAAAGGAGAGCAGCGAAAGGAGAAGAACATTTTGGGAAGGGAAGGAGAGAGGAGGGAGGTAGACTTGGCGGCGTGCGGTGCACTTTGCATAGTTGCGAAGAAGAAGAGAGAAAAAAATAAATTTAAAGAGCGTGATGTTTCTATAAGATTCAAGGCCATGTGCCGCCGGTTCTCGAGATTCGAACCGCGGTTTGGGTCCAATCTGCCGCAATGAGATATAGCTCGAAGAAAATACTTGTCGCTTGTTCATGAAACCCTAAGCAGAACACCCTTGTCAATGGCCCTAATTAGATCATTTGGCCAGCCCACAATTGCCTCACAATTACAGGCCCATATTCCTCCATGTGTCAGAACCATTTCGATTTTTATTTTGAGATGTTTCGAAAGATAGGATATATCTCTTCACTTGCGTTATAATCAGACCTGTGAATCCGGATGTGGTTCTTTACAAGAAAATAAAAAATTCGACATAGTTTGAATTCAGCCCCGAGTCTCTCCCGTTAAATTAGACAAATAGTTAAATATTACTTAAAGTGTACTCTCAGTGTACAGGTTAGAACATTCCCTCCTTCATTTTAAGTCAAACTCAAATAGTTAACTCTCCCCGCGTGGATCCGCTCCCTGCCGGGCAGTCCAGCTCATATCCAAATATGGTGAGACATTTTTCAAGCCTCTGATCCACCTTAATTTCACCTCGCGCGACCCATCCTACATACACGCGACTCATATACATACTAGCATCCTGTGTACATAATCATATCACACTCTCAATAACTTTGCTACTCCCTATCTTCTACTCTACATCCAGATCCCATCCATCCTTCACAGGCATCTAGCACTTCACACACAACATCCTCTCGTAAAATCCCGACTAATACTCCCGCATCAGCTAATCCCGCCGGGCTCTTTCTCGCGCCGCCTTAGGCCCCCCACCCTGCACTGGACCCACCCCACACCCTACACGGGCGTCTCTCATTCAAAAATTGTGGGAACTCTAACCAGCTCTTAGCACACTTAGATCAGACATCCGCATAACACAACCTCCTCACCATTACATGTGCACAAATTCCGCATTTTTTCGAACAGTGTGTACCTAAACGAGCTTCCTCATAGTTTAGGGCACAAAACTAAGCAGTTCCGGACCACGCCTCTACTGTTATCGACCTCATCATATCCATTCTCTCCTATAACTTCCTCTTGTTTTTACGGACGATACATCTAATCTATTTTACTCTTCTCAACTTACAACTCTATGGCTCATACTCCTAACTCAGATATTAGGACAGAACACATCTACACGTTGCTATTGGGATGTGTGGACTTTGACCTCAGTGGATTGTGGTATTGCATTTATCCTTCAATGATCATAATTATACAGAGTAGAGTGCCCTCTATCGTAATTAAATTAATCCTCGCATCAGAACAAGAAATTACATCTCTCGTCTAATCGCTATAGTATTAATTATTTGAATCTCAATAAACTAGATGAAACAACGCAGCGGATCTATATCGTACTCTCAATTCTCTCGAACACATATAATCCAAATACTACAATCATTTATGTGGATGGAGACTTACTCTCAGATGCAACATAATGCGCACATAGCTTAAGTAGTTCTTATAAATTCTATATCAAATAGAGAGAATCCTATTATCAATATAG